TTGTTATACTTTGGTTCAAGCACCATCATTTTTTGCCTAGATTATTCCAACAGCCTTTCAGAGTGTGTAAGTTGTGCATGTGTCATTCCCATCCCCGCCAACCCATTTCCTCACTGCAGAGAGAAAATTCTCTGAATCACATATCTGATTGTGTCACTCTTTTTAGAACCTTTCAAGTGACTCGCCATTGCTGTAGCAGGGCTGAAAGTTCATTCACTCACCTCTCATTCTTTCCCTCCCGCTCCATCCTCTGTACCAAAGCCACAAGGAATTACAATACTTATATTTTCAGGCCCCAGCTGGATATCACCTCTTTTGGAAAGCTTTCTGTGACCAGGCCTAGGTGTGCTTCCCACAGATCTTGTAATGATGTCTGCAATAGCACTTATACTATACTGCAATGGATGATTTACTTCTCAATCTTTCTCACCAGGCTGTGAGTTCCATAAGGTAAGGGACAGTTCTTATTAATCTTTATTTTCCCAGTGCCTAATGTAGAACCTGACATACAAAAGAAACTCAAATGTTTATTAAGTGAGACTACAGAAAGAAGAAACAGGAGATATTAGTCAAGAGATTGCTGTTAGAATCTAAGCATGAAGCAATGAAGGTTTAGTCTAATAGTGATTGTGAAGACTGGAGAAATCACTGAAACAAAACTCAGTTCAATTCATTAGTCACTAACTAATACCCATTATTACCCATTATGTACTAGAGACTACAGTAAGACATAGTCCTGGCTCTCCACTGGTTGACAATTTAGCAGGGAAGGTATGAAGCAAAGCTATAAAATGTGATAAGTTCTAGAATAATGAAAAGAACAGTGCTTTATAAGTCCTAAACATGAAGCAATTAATTGTACTGGCAGTGGGGAAGGGAAGAAGGCTCCATAATAGGTGGGAACCTTTCAGCTGAACTTTGCAGGCCAAGTGGATTTTGCCAAGGAGAGAAGGGAAACAATAGTATTCCAAAGAGGCAACTGGGTGAGAAAAGCAAAAGGGCGAAAAGGTGCATGATGTGTTCCAGGAATTAGAATACGAGCTATGTCTATTTTTAAGCTCTGTTCCCAATGCTTAGAAGAGTGCCTGGCCCATAGCAGGTGCTCAGTAAATCTTAGCTAAATGAAAGAATTTACAAGTATTCCAATGTGGACAGAAAGTAGGATATTTCACAAGAGGTAAAGATGGAAAGGTGGCTGGTGGCCAGGTAATAAAGAACCTCAGCCTAAATGCTCTCTTAGACTGGCAGACAACAGGAGCCACTAAAAGGTCTAAAGCCAGGCCCTAATGCAATCAGAGCTGTGTTTTAGAAACAACTGTAATGGCTTTGAGGAACAGGGTAGTGAGACAGTGTCTTTTACAAGCTAAATGGAGGGGAACACACAAAGAAAGTAAGGGTCATAAGACCTTTCACCTGCCGTGAGTATGAGAGAGTGAGAGAAAGGAGAGAAAAAAGGTACAGGTATGTTGAAGTAATGCTGGCTTATAGATTAAATACTCTGTGCTAGGCAGGAGAAGAAATGGGGGATATAAGTGGGGTGTTGAGGACATAAGTGTGCAAAGTAAGGTTGCTTATTCCAAAGAAAGAAAGCAAAGGACTGATGAGAAGGACGAAGGAGAAACTATACAGCAAAAGCTACCCAAAACTGAACTACGATACTCAGAATTCTGTATGAGAAAGAATGTTGGTAGCTCCTTCAATGTAAGCACTACTTAGTAACTCTCTCTGTGAAAGTATAACAGGAATAAACAGGAAAAGACAAACAGAGAGGCAGAGATAATATAATCTTATGACCTATTAGATTAAGCGAGTAGGAAGGAAAGAAGAATTAAAGATGAAATTACAAGGTTAGGTAACTGGGGGTATTATGATTCTGTTAACCTAGATAGGGAACACTGGATCAGGATGCAGATTTGTGGGAGGAAAATGAGTGTAGTTATGACTATTTTGAATTTGGGTACCTGTAGGCTGTGCAGTTTGAAATAAAGCCCAGACAGAGGTCGATGCCTCACAAAGATTTGGAAGTCATGAGCCAAATAGATACAAGTAGAAACCAATGGGAAATTGGTCATCTACAGAGCAACTTCAAGGTGAGAAAAGGGCCAAGGACAGAGCCTTAGAGATTACCTGTATTTCAGAGGAAGGACAGATAAGAGTCAGTAAAGGAGATTCAGAAAGAACAGTGACAAAAATACACAGGCAGAAAAGAGGAGTGGAAAGAGAGCTGAGTAACAATAATGACAGTAAACACTTCTATAGTATGAACATGTCAATCTCTGTGGTAAGCGTTTCACCTCTATCAACTCCTTTAATGCCAATAACAATCCTATGAGACGGGTACTATATTTCCTAAGTGAAGAAACTGAAGGACAGAGAGGCTAAAAATTTGCTGAAGGTAACACAACTAATAAATGGTAGAGCCAGAATTTGAACCTCGGCAGTCTCGGCACAGACAAGAGAGTTTCAAAGAACAAAGGGTAGCCAGCAGTGTTGGATGTTACAAAGAAGTAGAGTAAGATTTGAGGTCCTCAAATTTGGCAATTAGGTGACTGACAGGACAGAAATCAGAATATAGTGGGTTAAAAAGTTATTGAGAAGTGAAAAGACACCCATAGGAGGAAATTTTTGCAAACTGTATATCTGATAAAGGACTATGCATAATATATGAAGAACTATGACAACTCAATAATAAAAAGACAAATGACCCAATTTTTAAAAATGAGCAAAGGATGTGAATAGACACTTCTCCAAAGAAGATATACAAATGGCTAATAAGCACAAGAAAAGATGCTCAGCATCGTTAGCCATCAGAGAAATGCAAACCAAAACCACAGTGAGATACACTTCACACCCATTAGGACAACTATAATCAAAAAGTCAGAAAATAAGTGTTAGTGAGGATGTAGAGAAAATGAAATTCCCATACACTGCCAGTGGGAATATAAAATGGTGCTGTCGCTTCGGAAAACAGTTTGGCAGTTCATTAAATGGTTAAACATAGAGATACTATATGACCTAGCAATTCAACTCCTAGGTATACATCCAACAGAAATGAAAATCTGTCCACACAAAAACTTGCACATGAATGTTCATAACAGCAGTATTTGTAAGAGCCTCCAAACAGAAACCACCCAGATGTCCATCAAGTGGTGAATGGATAAATTAAATGTGACAGATCCATACAACAGAATATTTGGCAATAAAAAGGAATGAAGTATTGATATACGCTACAACATGAACCTTGAAACATTACGCTGAGTGAAAGAAGCCAAGCACAAAGGACCACATACAAATTGTATGATTCCATTTATATGAAATATCCAAATGGGCAAATCTATGGAGACAGAAAGTAGATTAGTGGGTGCCCAGGGCTGGGGGGAAAGGAGAACAGGGAGGTTTGGGGAGGGACTGCTAAGCAGTGTGGTGTTTCTTTTTGGGGTAATGGCAATGTGTAACCATCCCCACAATCAATTTTCGAACAAGTCTGAGAGAACACCTAAAGCTTTGTACACTCTAATTTGGTGAATTGTACAGTATGTGAATTATATCTCAATAAAGCTGTTTTAAAAAGTTAATGGGAAATGAAGTAGGAGGAGAAGACAGGAAATGCTTGAGTGGAGAGGTAAGGTCCTAAGAAGATTTCTGAAGGTTAGGGAAGATCTGAATAGGTTTATCGATTGAGATAAATCAGTGGAAAAAGAAAACTTGATACAAAAAAGACATCACAGATTAAGCAAAGTCCTAAAGGGGATGGATAAGAGGAAAAAAGAAAAACGGTGATACCTCTGAAAGTAAGAATGAGCAATAGTGAGAGTTCACGCTTGAAGGATCCTATTTTCCACTGAGGTAGAAGAGCTTGGCAGCTGAATACCAGAGGGTGAGGGATAGAGTATGAAGTCTAGAAAAGTTATAAAAGTTGAGAAAACTGCTGACAAGAATGGGAAAAGAAAGCAAAAGATAAAAAGCTTGTCAAGGAGAAGTGAGCAGGGTGAGAACAGAAAGAAGGTTTAATGGAGCCAATATATGTGATTAGATGAAACTCTCAGCTAGAATGGCCAGACCGGAGTTCAGGAACTCAGATGGCAGAGGATTGGGCCGTTTTGGGGTTGAAGGTTGCTGAGAGTTTAGGTGAAGTGCTTGATCATAAAATCCCACTAGGCGGGGAAGGCAGTGATACCAAAAGAAGATGGATGTTTCAAAGAAGAACTGAATTTAATGACTGAATTGATATGAGGATGAAGGAGGAGGAAATGAAAGAATTAAACAGGATTCTGGATTCACTTATCTGGAAGAACTAACAGATCAATGACCAAAACAGAGTTCTTGGAGCGGGAGTAGGCTAAAGAGCGATGAAGTAGTCAAAAATATATTGTAATGTTTAGAGTGAAAAAGCTTCTTAGAAGAACAACGCTTGTCATTTTTAAGAGGAACAGGAATAAAGTGAGGCCCAGAGAAGTTAAATGACTTTGCTGAAGTCACAAGGTACTAGATGAAGTCTAGAAATGACTGAACTCCAGGCCATTCTATTACACCACAGAACCTCACTAATCCTTGGAGTTTGACGTGATGGCAGGAAACACAAATCAATGCTTCCTGAGGAGGTTCAATAACACGAAAATTGGTTTTAATTTCTAAGGTTCATTTCAGGTGATAGTGGGGAAATATGATTCAGGAACAAAATGAATGACAGGAGAAGCCAATCTGAAACAAATGAAATACAACATTTGCTCTGGTAATCCACATGGAGATAATCAAGAGTTGGACGTAGAACGATATAAACACCTTAAAATATTCTAACACAAGAACAGTTTATGCTTCAAAATCCTCTCAATGTTATTTGGCAATATAGATGATAGGACATATAAATTTTTATGGTTTAGAATTTTAAACATTAAGAAGAGCTTTGCTTACTTTTAAGGTTCCTTTTATGTTACAGAAATATGAAATACTGAATTAGAGTTCGATTAAGTCTCTTTTAAGGGGCTAGATATTTGCCTTACCTTTACTACCTTGTAGTCACACAAGTATTCCACCTCATAATTGTTTAGATTCCTTTTGGTGATTCCAATCGATTTACATGTGAGCTTTTCTTTTCTACATAATTCCTGAAGAGTATCAAGTGAAACTAGGCAAGGCACACACCAAGCTACAATAAGAAAATAGAATTCTTTACTAATGAAACAGCTACTCAGTTAAAACAAAAAAAAAAGAAAAGGAAAAATTTAAGACCTCTATAGCCCCACCCTTCAACTGGCAATTTTACAGGACTAAAAATTCATATAACAAGAAACTGTTTACGTGTCTTCAAGAAAAAGTTAAGCATGGAAGAACTATTTTGGTAAACTGGTCTTGGATTTTCTCATGGGTCTCTATCCTACTGTGTTATCTGACGGCAATTAATTTCTACAAAACGTTTCATGTCTGTAAGCTTTCTTAAGATTACAGATAATATGATGCAAAGGTCGACAGAGATAATGCTTTTGACTTTTCCATTATATTCTACCTAGACCATAATTGCTGTTTTAATAATTGTGGATCTCTAGGACATACTTATTACTGTTAGAAATATATCTTAAAATATATTTTAAAATATATATTAAACTTTAAAATAATTTTAAATATATTTTATTTATATATTTTAAATATATATTTAAAATAATCTTATATATTTTAAATATAATCTTTTATATTTTATCAATACATATAGAATATATATAATATATATATTATATATAATATATATAATATATATAATATATAATCAATATATTTTAAAATAATCTTATAACTTGTTAAAAAGTAACTTTTTCCCTTTCTCTTAGTTGCACAATAAAAACTGAAATCTAATTGAAATACAGTTCTATAGTCACATATTCGTACACCACATGCCCTACTTTTCTCACTTTGTAATGCTGCATGAAATTTTAACTCCACTTATGATTTTGCCCATGCTGCAATGTGTTACTATCAAGGCGAATAAACCCAAGAGTTACAATAAAATAATGGAGTATATTGATTTTCCTAATCCTTATTTCCTGTATTGTTTTTAAAGCCAAGAATTACAAAACAGAGTATTCATTTTACATGATCTATACACCAAGCTTGAAGAAAATCAGCCACACTCATAATCAGCCTTACAGAAGCCAGTAATTGTGCTGCAGAAGATTTTACCCTCAAATTTCTGTAAACAGTATGCCACCATACTGCATATAAAATATGTTAACACCAACCGAGGTTTAGAAATAGGTAATAAACTTGGTTTTATGGCTAGTGTTATGGTAAGCAAGAGAGAGGATTAAGGGTCCTCTGCCCCAGCCTTTGCTAGGCCACCTAGCTACATGATTTTAGCGAGGTTTCCATCTTTCTGGTTTTCAGATTCACTGAAAAAATTTGAGAGGTGGAATAAATGGGGGTTATCAAACAAAATCTATCAGTAAATTCAAGCTTTACGTGGTAGCTCTCCAAGGTAGCTGTGATAATCTTTTGTTTTGAGGTGATTTCCAGGGAAGAAAGAACACAGCAGCTCTTACTATATCCTTTCCTCACCCTCCCCAACTCACACACGGACTTCATTGTCACAAAGCCTGAAGCACGATTTCCACCACCCCCCTTCCTACAAAGGACTCATAATTCTAGACCAAGAAGTGAAAGATATTTTCCCCTCAAAAATCTGGGGGAAGGGGTTGCTTGCTTTGGAGTGGTGGTTTGGGGGTAGGAGACTGGCAGAACAGAAAAGACCCCTTAAATCCCTTCCATTGAAAACACTTCAGGATGTTTTGTGTAAATTTACCCTCATTATGCAGATCACGTGCAAAGCAGGCTCCTGTGGGGTATCTACCCAAGGTGTACTTGTTTGCCATTCCCACCATTTTTATCTAGCTGAAGGAACAGGAGGATTCAAGACACAACTCTCGACGGAAATGCAATTTTGAGAATAAGACAAACTGGAACATAAAAACTGCAAACCCTTGGTAACAATTCCGATTGTCTATAATAAGGTAGAAGAATTCATTTGTAAGATTAAACATCTCATTACCACCACAAAAACCTTACACTAGTTCACACTAAGCCCTCGTGGAAGAAAAGTTGGGGGATTATGCGTTCATAAACTACGTGGAGAGGAGAAGCGCTGGAAAACATCTTTAAAATTCTAGAATGCATTGAAGGTTCCAGTCTTTGGGACAGCGCGATACCAACACGCACCCACGTTCAGTACCCAATTCTCTGGCGCCCACATAAGTAACACGCAAGTTCCCGGGGGTATAAAAATTACTGTAAACCAGAGGCTACGTCCTCAAACACCCACTTTCTAGGCTATTCTCCAATGCGAATGTAGCCTCCCAGGGCGTCCGCCTCGGGGGTACCCTCACTTGCTTCCTTTCCTGGCGCTCATCCTTCGGCGCCCTTTCTTTCCCCTCCGATCCTGAGGTCGCATTTACCCACCGGCTTCTCAGCCGAGCGGCCACGCCAGCCGCAGACGTCCCGCCCCCGACCACAAAGGGGTCCAGCCACCCGCGCGCCCCAGGCCCGACCCCCCGCCACCCGAATACCTCCGCACGGCGGCCATGCGGGGAGGGGCCTCGGGCCCGACGGGCAGCGGGGGCCGGGCCACCGAGTCCGCTGGACCTCCGCCGGGCGGGAGAGCGGCGCCCCCGACGCCGGGTGCGCGGGCAGGGCCCCGCGGGTGCGGGGCGCAGGAGGAGACTGCGGGGAGCGGTCGGGCCGAGCCGCGAGAAGGGGCAGGGGCAGGGGCCAGGGGCAGGGGGCGGCCCGCGGCGCCCATGTGGGCGCCGGGGTGTCAGCAGGGCGGGAGGCGGCGTGTCGCCGCGTCGCGCTCTGGCGGGCCCGCGGGTCCCGGCCCCGCTTCCCGGGCCTCGGGAGTTTGCCTAGGGCGCGGGGCACGGTGAGGGGCGCCTCTCTCCAGCCCTCACCTCCTCGCGCCTCGGCCGCCGCCATCTTGGGGAGCTTTCATTCAAACTGGCGCGGTCGGAGCGGATAGCTCAGCGGGCCTGACGCTCCGCCCCTGCCCGGCCGGCAGTCGGAGTCGGGGGCCGCGGCTCACGGCTGGAAGCCGCCGGGTCCTGACGTCACCGGAGGCCGACCCCAGCCGCGGCTGCGAGCGCGCCTGCGCCCCACGTCGCCTCCCGGCGCGCGGCCGGCAGCGGGGCGGGGCTGCGGGGCTCCGGGGCGGGAGGCGGGGTGCGCGCCGGGGCGGGCCGCTCCGCTCGTTAGCGGCCGCCCGCTCTCGCACGGCTGGTCCGGCGCCTAGCTCCGGGGTCCGGATGAAGGCCGCCCCGCGCTTTTCAGTTTTTACACAGGCACTCGGGGTACGCCGTACAAAGTCGAAAACGCAGAGCGGAGCTGTACTGTGCAGGGGATGTTTCCCTCCCGTGCCTGTTCCTCAGCCACCTGAGCCCAACTGACCATTGGCCCGTTTCCTTCTCGCTACTCCCCTGCATCCAAGTTCTCAAACTGGCTGCACGTGGGGATCATCTGGAGAGGGTGCTTTTTGGCCCCACTCGCGGAGACTGATTTAATTGGTAGGGGTGTGACCTGAGAACTGGAATTTTAGAGCTCCCCAGGTGATCCTAGTGTGCAGCACGGTTTGAAACCACCGGTCTAGATCAGTGCGTCTCACACTGGAAAGGGCATAGAAATCATCTGAGCATCTTGTTAAAATGAACATTTGAATTAGGTAGGTCTGGGCTGGGACCCGAGGTCTGCATTTCTGACGAGGTTCCAGGCTGTGCCCGATGTTTCAGGGTCGGGGCCACACCTTGGTGGCAAGGCTGCGTGAGGCCCAGGTCCTCTCAGCAAGACAACTCCAGGAGTTCTCCACGGTCTCCACCTCACCCCGCCCCCATCCATTCTTCACACTGCATCCATGGTGACTCTTCTAAACAATCCAAGGCAGAAATCTTGGAAGGGTAAATTGCGAAAACTTCGCTAGAAAGCCATTTGACAGCTTAAGGATTTTTAAAATAAATTTATATAAAAAATTACAAAAATATTTCAAAACATCATGTATAAATTTGAAATATTGGAAATAACACATTAATTTGATTCAATTATGAAATACTGTATAGCCATTAAACATTATGAAACCTTTAGTACTGGGGAGGTGTTTAATACGTTAAGCAAAACAAACAACAAAAACCTATGAAATATACAGTTTCAACTGTGTAAGAAAAAATGTACTATAGGAAGATAAATACAAAATCTCTGGGGAGTGATTTCCTTTTTGACCTGTAGTTTTGCATACTTAACCATTTCTATAATGAGCATCTTAGCATCTTATTACCTTGCTAATAAGGAATAAAGGTCCTATCCAGCCTGTCACATAGAAGCCCCTTTGTGATATGGTGGTTCCTGTCCCCACTTCTCAACCTCATTGCTCATACTTTCCTCCTATTCTAATTGGTCACTTCCTCAAATATTACCTGTTTCCTGTCCCCAGGACTTTGGTCAATCCTGTTCTCTACGTAGAAAATGCCTACTTGTTCCCCATCTTTGCTAGGATTACTCCTACAGACCCTTTAAGACTTGGATAGAGCCTCACCTCCCCCCAGGGCATCCTTCCCACAGCTTCTCCCACCCTCTCCTCCCCAACGGTACCCTTGGCCCCTCCTGTATGTCCTAACAGCACCGCATCAGCATCCATCCTTAACTGTTTCTTTCTTGGTTTTCCTTCAACCTCACTAGCCACTCTTTACTCCCATTTTTGGCTCCTTCTCCTCTATCCAACCTAAATGCTGGGGTTCCCCAGGAGCTGGCCCTGAGACATTTCTCTTCTGCCCTCTCCCTAAGTGACTGCCTCAGTTCCCATGGGTTTAAAATATCATCCTTATGCTTAAGATTTCCAACTTTTTGTCTCCAGCCCTGACCTCTGCCTGAATTCCAGTCTTGACTACATATACAGCACCTAGTTGACGTATCCACTTAGGTGTTGCACAAACATCTCAAATTGAACACACCCATAAAAATACCCTTGATTTTTGCCTCCAGACCTCGTCCTCTCCACTGGAGGCCCCCAAATTTTCTCATCTCACTACACTGGCAGCACCATCTACTCATGTGTTCAAGAAGGAAATCTAGGTGTCATCTTGATTCACCCTCTCTTCATTCTTTAACTCCATTTGCAAGTCGTGTCAATTCTCTGTTCAAAGTATATCTTGATTCGGCCTCTTTTCTCTACTACTACTGCTATTACCTTGGCACAGGCCGTCATTTCTCAACTGGAGTCCTGGCAAAAGCCTACCTGGTTACACTTCCACTACTGCTCCCCTCCAATCATTCTCCACATAGCTAAAAAGTGACCTTAAAACAAAGTGGAGGGGCCAGCCCAGTGGTGTCATGGTTATGTTCACGCGCTCTGCTTCAGCGGCCTGGGGTTCACTGGTTCAGATCCCAGGTGTGGACCTACACAGCAAGCCATGCAGTGGCAGGCATCCCACATATAAAACAGAGGAAGATGGGCACAGATGTTAGCTCAGGGCTGATCTTCCTCAGCAAAAAGGGGAGGATTGGCGGTGAATGTTGTTAGCTCAGGGCTAATCTTCCTCAAAAAAAAAAAAAGAAACCAAACATAAAGTGAAACATGTCCTTCTCCTGCTTTCAATACTTCCAAATGTACCTAGAATAAAATTCCAATCTTCCAATGGCCTACGCGGCCTCTGTGACCGGTACCCTGCCTCCCCAACCTTCCTTCGTGCCACTCTCCCCTTTACTCACTCTTCTCTACGACTTTATTCACTCATTCAGAAATCTCTGATTGTGCATCCCCTATGTGCCAGGCACTGTATATGGTGCTGGGAATGTAATAGTGGACAAGAAAGAAAAAGACTGTCCTCATAGAGCTTATAGCCTAGTGGGAGGAGCAGGTAACAAACAAGCAAGGAAATAACTTTAGGCAACTCTCAATTACTTCCTAGTTCAGAGGACAAGCTTCTTGCTTTCTTTACATGGCTACCTTCTTGCCTCTCAGCTTAAATGTCACTTCTTCAGAGGCCTCTCGTGGTCACCCTATGTAAAGTAGGTACCTCCTGTCTTTCACTCTCCTTTGCACCCTTAAATGCACTTATAAAAATTTACAGTTACCTTGTCTACTTTTTGGATCTTGATCAGTTTCAGTAAAAATTTACTGAATGAATGTATTAAGCTCTTTTGTAAATCAACTGTTTCCTTTGATTTTCTACTCTTGAATCTCACTACTTCCAGGGGATAATTAGGCCTTGTCTCTTCAACATGCATCACTGTGTCTACTATCAAGAACAGTAATTCGCAAAGTATGGTACAGGGACCCTGGGACCCTTCAGGAGGCTCATAAGTTCAAACTATTTTCATAATAATACCAAGGTGCTACCTGCCTTCTTTACTCTCCTTTCACAAGTATACAGAGGAGTTTTCCAGAAGTCACAGAACTTGGATATTCCAACAGATTGAATGAAGAAGAAGATACCAGAATAGAGCTATCTTCTTAAACTAGATATTAAAGAGATTTGAAAAAATATAAAACAATAACACTCTTGCCACTAAATTTTTGTTTGAAAAGTTATTTTTCATAAAAATGTTACTTATGTTATATGTAATTCTTTTATTTAAAAATGAATGATTATTTAAAAAATCTCTTGGTTTTAATTTCTATATGGTAAATAACCCCACACACACACACACATAACCAATATAAACACAAGGTCTTTAGCTTTGCAGTAATTTTTAAGAGTATAAAGGAGTCTTGAGACTAAAAAGTGTGAGGATCTCAGTAAACCCTGGCTCTAAATGGAGAGGGAAATCAAAAGCCACCAAGAGAGATACACTAGTGTCTTCAAGGGGACAATACAGAATTATGCTTCTATCTCCTAAGTTTTTCCCATAAAGATCACTGGAAACATGATTTCCAGAGGTCCATGGAGTGTCTCATCTTCCATTTAAATAAAATAATGCACACAGTGTGCTTAGAATAGTAAGCAATCAAGAAAAATTAAGTTTACAGGAAAAGCATCTGAGTATTAGTTCAAAATTCACCATTTATTTACTGTGAGACCTTGGATAAATTAACCTCTCTGAATCTACTTCCACATCTGGAACACAGAAATAATAAAGGCCATATTACTCTCTACATACTGCAGCCACTCATGGAGCTGCGGGAAGATCACAATTAAAAGCAGGATAAGGACTTCAAGCAAATCAACAGTAGCAGAATTACAAACGTTAAACGGCTACTCACTGCTATTTTAGGAATCCTGACATTTTCCCATAGAACTTCTGTGCTCTGAAACTTTTTATCTCTAAAAACTCTCACACAGATAAAAGCTTTTCAGTTTGTGATGAAGTATTTTGTGGCCTCCCAAGACTTTCACAGTATTACATATAGGCAATTCTTTCTATTTTTATATTTGGCTCTGTCCTTT